CCCCCCCCCCCCCCCCCCCCCCCCCCCCCCCCCCCCCCCCCCCCCCCCCCCCCCCCCCCCCCCCCCCCCCCCCCCCCCCCCCACATCATTGTACTCAATTTACTTTTCAGCAGATAAATACAAGACAAGACATAAATATACAGAGTGATAGAGACCTTCAAGCGCTTTCACAGCAGTTCCAAAAGAACTAATAATAAGTTTATCACTAATTTAACTTAAAACTTGAAATTTAAAACTTGAAAAATTTTAAGTTTTTTCTCTTGCAAACAGCCTAGCAGTTTCACAAACATGCAATCTGCTTTCTTTATTTGAATGATATAAGCAGAAAGAAGTTAAATTCACGATGAATTTTACTTTTCATAAGAGAAACATGTTTTCTGATGTATTTGAAAAAAATCATTTTTCAATTCCCCTCTCCGACTTTCCCAATGGTCACTCCAGCAACCATGCTATTTTTTACGATCTCCTCCCTACCTATCTCTCGTAAAATTTTTGAAAATTATTTAATTGACTCGTAAACACTTTAGCCGATAGATATTATAATCCACATCACGAAAAAGTATCTTTCGTATACGTAGAAAAAGGATTCTAAAAACAAACTTCAATTTTTTTTGCTCTTTTTAAACTTATCAATTTTGTACGTCATATATCGCGGAGATCACCGATGAGAAAAAGCACTTTTTTTTATCAACCGATAGCTTGTGGAATTTGCTGCAAATAACGTCGTGAAAGGTTTTGAATTTGATGCTTCGTTTATTTTCTGGAACGTTTCTACAAACGGTCAGTCCAGTGATCCATGGGGGTTAAATCTGATTTAATATGATCGAATAAAACTAAAATCTATTCCTGTAACGTTACACCACAAAAAAAATATTTTATCGGCACTAGTTGTGCACCGGTGCCGAATAATTTTTTTTCTGGGCACCGATGCGTACCGAAAGAATGTAAAAATCTCGCACCGGTACGCACCTTAGCCTTGTAGCCCGCACATTTCTGATTGAAATGAGACATCTCCCAGCTTTACACGACCTTTCTTTGCAAAGTTATAGAATTTACAAGAAAAGCCCTAAATTAATTTCTTCTTATTTCTGTACCTTTGAGCTGACAATGAACATTAAGGGCTTTTCTTATAAATTCTATCACTTTGCAAAACATCTCTCATTTCAATCAAAAATGTGCGGGCTACAATCGTGCCTCATTAAGAAAGGTTTGCGTTATATTTTAGAGTTTCTGAAAAACTGGTTTTCTAGAAAACCAAGTCTTCGAAGGGCTAAGGACAACTCCTGAGGTAATATTCGTAATCAGTATGATCGATAACCTATAACTCACTAGATTTCGAGCAAAAAACGTTTAATCACTTCGAAAGGTTCTCTCGTCAGACACTTTTGAGGCTATACGCTTAGGTGGTTTAAAAATTTAAAAAAAAACAAATTTAAAGTAACTTACGCTCCAGCAACATTAACAGTCAATGCAAGTTGTTTAACATAACGATTTGGAACTCTATTTCCTAGTTCATCATCTTCGAATGCATCATCAAACAAAATATGTGTTTCGAAACGATAATAATCTGGATCAATTACATGCAAATGTTTTTGTACGGAACGGCGAGCATGTTGATCAGAATCGATTCTATGAGAAAGTAAAACATTTATGTACAACAGGTACAAATCTAAGTCCGTACCGAAATATTGATTTGAGAAGTACTTGTTGTTTCATGCCACATGGTTGCACAAACATAAATCATCGGTACAGGAAATTTTCGTTCACCTTGAATATCTGGTTCAACATTATCTAAATAGAAAAAAATTTTAACTGATTAGTGAGAGAAACATTTTCTAAAACAAACCTTTCAGTTCTATCTCGTCTTTTCGCGTTTTGTTTAATAACAAATTTTGTTCAACAATAGGTGATTCATAAAATGGTACAACAAATAATCTAAAAAAGATCCAAATGAAGAACTTTGATAAATAAATATTGTGTACTTTAATTTACAATATGAAAAGGTATACCTATCGTGAATATACTGGCTCGAAGCTAGCGACTCGTCTTTCCATAGATGTCATTATGTCCTAATAGGATATTTACTCTACAGTGGGGTATTCCATTTTTTCCGAGAATTGCATATTATCGGAAAAAACTAAAGTTGGTTTTGAGTTGCTGAAAAGTGTTTTTTAGCATTCAGCACACTCGATAACCCAGTAGATTTTCTATTTTTGACGAGGGGTACTTCTAAAAGTTTAGGAAAAATTTTGAAACAAAGTAATGCAAAAAAATTTCCATTGGAAAATAATATTAGTTTGAAAATTTGTCCTAAACTTTAGACAGTACCCCTCGACAAAAACAGAAAATCTTCTGAGTTATCCAGTATGCTGATTACAAAAAACCACTTTTTGGTAATTCAAAACCAACTTTATTTTTTTGTTCCAGTGATATGCCAATGCAACATCAACACTAAATATTTGTAGAACAAACATGCAACAACATACTTGTGTATCATTGCCAAACGTTCTGAATTCGGGAACCAAACATGACTAGTTATCCACGTTTTTGAAAGCCATAAGAGCAAAAAGCCAATTAATGATATTGGCAAAAGCTTTGAATCCAAAGCTATGAATGAAAAAAAAAAATTAGAAACAAAATAATGAGGCATAAACCCGAAGACTACAGCATCCTCTATTACCTTGTGGTTTATCCAAACGAAACAAACGTCCAATTGGTATAATATCATTTGTGAAGCCATTAGCAAAAAATAACACACTGTATGCAATTAATGATGATATTGTTAACGGTAGTGAAAAGCCAAAACATTGCATTAATACCTAGAATGAATAAAACTTTTCAGCTATTCTTAATCATGTTTTAACAGAAATAACAATTAGTTTGAAAAATATAAGGTTTTTTAGCTGATTTCTGCTGAAAACATCCTTTCTTTTTGCTTCAATAAGAAAATATTCGTAGAAAAGTTGATACACATACTTTGCAAGCTATTCTTCCGGTATAATAACAGATACACGATGATACAATTTGAACAACCATTGGCATATAAAGCTCATACGATACTTTAAAAATGTCGTCTTTTCGTGAATAACCGCTAGCTATTGATTTGGTATAATTTGTCATTGTGATATTTTTGAATATATTAAAATAATCTGTTTTTGGAATTGTTGATGGTAAAAAATAGTAAGCAGCTGATATCATGATAATTATTTTCCACACACTTGCCGTCATGTATACTTTTGGTCGTGTTTTTTTTAATAAACGAATTGCTCGCGATAGGCGATCGGTGAGAAGATGTTTTGTAAAACCTACGGCAGTAAAACTTTCCCAATAACCAAATGAAATGAGTAATAATGATAATGGTAGTGTCCACAAAAGATCTTTTTTTGATTTTGGTAATGCTCGAATATTGTCATTATAATGAAAATAGAGGATATATGGGATGAAACAAACACACTAAAATCAAAATTAAATGTCTATCAACTCCAACATAAAGTATTACATACCGCTTGCATTATAATAGCCATAATATCAACAGTTAATGTCAACGTTTTCAATGAGCGATTTAGACGTCGACGAGGTGCACATAATAATTTTAACAATGCTGGAATGAAACAAACACCGTTCATGATGAATAAACCAGTAACATTGTCGACAACTGTCAAAACTTTGAATACCAATAATGCCAGACCACTGGTATGTAAAGATTCCATGATATGAACCTAAATGGTAGGCACAATTGAACTTTAACATACTACAAAGATTATTGTATAACTTACCCATATGAATAATATAAATGGTGGGGATTTTTTGACATAAAATAATGACAACGACACACTGTAAATAAATGTAAAAATATACGGAACAATTAGTGTCAAAACTAATAACAATTGCCATCGGATGATATATTCATTTGGCTAAAAAAATTAAACAGAAACAATACACTATGCTATAGAATTCAAACAAGAAATCTACCTGATCGTCTCTCTTGTAAGCATTAATCATTGTGAATAAACTTAATTTGCTCACAACAGATGAACATACAACAATCAAGAAAAATAGGAGATAAACTACTAATTTAACAATTCGTCGAAAACCAAATATACGTTCATGATTAAGAATTTGTTCTAATTCATAATGACGTGATGTCACGTGGGCAACGTCCCACCAGTACGTATTGTCTTTGCTGCCAATTTTATTATTATCGTTTCTAAAATGAAACGGTAGAATTCCTCTGTAATTATAATAAGAAAAAGAGAAGAATATAATTTACCTAGAAGAGTCAGCTTGTGATGACCCATTGACACGCTGCATGCCTATGCCACTCATTCTAAAATAAAATTAATAAAATCGCTAAATTACACTGATCATTGGCTAGATAACACTTTAGAATAAATTTAAAAAATAACGGATGGCTATAGATTTTGAATATGTGGATAACAATAACGTCGCTTGAAACCAATACAAAAAAACAGTTATTTTTTCCACGTAATTCAAACTATATAGCTATATAGGAAGATTTCAGCAGAGCCTTTCTATTTGAGAAAAGTGTGAAGCAGAATGCTTCTGACTAAAAAAAGACAATGACCAAGAACTATAGAGTTGATATCTCTTTTCTTTTTGCAGACGAAAATAAATGTTCAAACGCAAAATTCCAGATATAAGGTCAAATGTGACTAATGGGCGTATAATTTCAAACTTTCAAATGATGACGTCAGTATACGAAAAGGAGAAAGAAAAAGCTCTTGAGTATCAGATATATATTCTAAGTTTTCGATTGACAAATGCCAAACTTAATAAAGGCAAAGTTTTGTACATGCTTCGCAGAATACTGTTTAACGAAATTATTCAGTTCAAACACTGGACATCAAGAACGTTTATCAAAAAATTTAGACTGAAATAATGCATGTCTTCTCATATGTGCATAAAAACTTTCGAAGTTAAGTATTGATCTAACAACACGAACAATAAGCATGTCACAGATTTAACTTTGTTCGCAGATTTTAACAGCAGACGGCATCGATTGAGCTTCATTTTTCACTTACGTTTAATCGAAAGATAGAAGTTTCGTTTTGACCACATTTAGACGAACGTTTACGTCGTTTACGACAGAAAATATCGACAGAGTGATTATCGACCGGTCTTTCCCATCCACAAACTTTTAGGTGCACCGCGACATCTATAGCGCATTATTTTGATTCGCTCATCGTTTCACTCTCTGTAAACTCATAGAAAATGAGACTATAGCTTTATTAAACTTTATTAAACTTTTCTAAAACTGTACAACGGAAATAGTTAACCCATTTCATCATCTGACCTTAAAAAGAAAATTTTCTGAATAATAGAAAGAATTTTTATATATATACAAGACAAGCAATTTGCTTGAAAATATAAAAACGGAGAATAAAGAAACGAAATATAGTCAGTCACTGAATCGACTTTGGTACGAGATTAGTCGCGGGTGTTGTTGAAATAGTCTTCCGTGGTGGCGGAAGCTTCGGCGGCGGGGAGATTTCGTTATCGAATGTTGAAACGGATGATCCACCATCGAACGTTCTTTTAAGTAATGCATAGACAGGATACGTAAAGGCGTTTGTTGGTATTGCTCTTAATGCACATGGAAGAAAACCCCGTGTGAGAACTGTCCAACCTTCTGTTCGTATACTTTTAACAATACAGTCCCAAACATTTCTGTAAACATGATCACGACTTGCTTGAAATCGTGATTTAATAACATCGCACGGATAACTCACTGTCCATGCACACATGCCGGTAAATGCACCACCTAGTAAACTCAGATACATAGGCATATCTGCTTCTTTTGATGTTGGTGAAAATGTTCGAACAAAAAATTCCCATGCTGGAAAATAGGCAGCAAACGATGGAACATCTCGTGCAAATGTCAGTGATAAACCACGCATCACACCGGCTCTCATTCCTCGTCGTGAATAAACTTTTTTCAAACAATCAATGGGTCCCTTATATAAATCTCGGGATAATAAAAATAATTGTCGTTGTTGACCAATACCTTGCATTTGTAAACGTGTTTTCACCAATTCAATTGGTGAACAAATGATAGCTTGTACGCCTCCAGCTATAGCACCCGTGCACATCAGAGCATGATAAGTATCTGGATTCTGAAAAAGATTTTTCGATGCATTTTGCACGCTAAATACAATACCGTTAATAACTGCTACTCCAAACATCGGCGAAGTCATACCCTTGTAAAAACCTAATATTGATTCTTGTTTAAAAATTTTAATAAAACAGTCCAAAGATCCCGAATACATTCTTTGGTTTAATGTTTGTGTTTGTAAACGAACTTTAACGGTGTCAAATGGATAACCAGCCACTGTTCCAGTGACACCGGCAATAAAACCAAAACCAAAATCGAGAGCCATTACATTCGATAATAAACCACAATTTTCTTCCTTATAATATCACTTAGATCTAGCGGAAAAGAAATAGAGAAAGAAGTATGATGTATAAAAGTTCAATTCTGATGCAATGTACTGCAAAATCTATAATGTATGAGAGAAGTAAAATTTAAATTTGAAAAAATTACTACATTTTTGAAAATTCAACTTAGAGTAAAAGTATCAAAATATTTTTACGCAGTGTTTAAATTTTTCTATCCAATTTTGATGGTAATTTTATTATTTGTTGCTTTGAGCATGTGCCAGAAAGTCGACAACGCAGACACACCTCTTCATCGTTCTTCTAGAAGTAAAGGAGAAATAGCGAAAAATATGTATATATTTATATTATAGTGCTATTTTATGACGAAGAAAGAGGACGAAAAACATCGATTATAACATGTGACTGCACATCTGGTTTATGCCCTATGTATTATACGTATTTTTATTATCCAAGCTTTATTCTACTTAATATTAAGAAACAAAATCACTGTAATGTTATGTAAACACATGACGAGGCCGAACGTTTGAAGTTCGAGTTTCACCATCGTTCGACGCTCGAGTTCGCCTCTAAACAATTCCGGTTTGGATTCAAGTTTCCCTCTAAACAATTCCGGTTTGGATTCAAGTTTCCCTCTAAACAATTCCGGTTTGGGTTCAAGTTTGGCTCCGAAAATGTTCAAACATTCGAGTTCTGGTTCGAATTCGAGAACAAATAGTTAAGAAAGCACACTATTATGCTATATACCATATAATCAGACAATTATTATTTTTCCTCTTAAATCCTAGTTATGCACATATTAATGTTTTTTCTTTAACTTCCGCACTTTGACTCGAAAAGAATGAAATAACAAAGTTCTTCAAACGAAGCAAGCGCGAATAACATAGAAGATAAATGAGTTGGAACCTGTATGGAATTAAGGGCATAAAGGGAAATTTTACAATCCCTCAAGGCTTGTAGTGTCATTGTAATATTTTAAACATGTTCTGCGAACCGCGTGTAGTAAATCTTGGTGCTAAATTTACGTTGAGAATAATGGAAAGTCGAACTTCCTCGAACTCGAACTGTTCGAAGCCGAACCTCGAATCTGCGTTCGAGTTCCACACATCCCTAGTATTATGGTTACAGGGTTTTTTTCTTCACATTTTTAAGATAAAATGTCGTCTGATTACGAAAAATGAGCAGCACGAAATCAAATGAATGTCTTAAAATTTTCAAATAAGCTGAAGTCTATAGAATACTCTGACTGGATGATCCAATCGCTGATCTACAATAATCTTTTAATACATACCTTCAATTTTTGATTGCTGTTCGATTGTTATAATGGTGGAGCTATATTTAAAACTATCATTCAATTCTAGTCTTTTACGGTTTCTCGATTATGACATCATTCGTATTAATTAGTCAGATTCTTTTTCTGAGAAAAAGAACAAAACAAAGTACACTTTTATAAATTGAAATAATTTTCTAAATCATACATCCAATATATAATTATTCACAACTTATCATGACTCAAAAAAGATGTTTGCGAAGCATGACAGTGTTATAAAATATTGAAGAACAGCGAAAAAAAAGCGATCAAATCATCTTTACTGATCAACCCATGTCTTTAGAATGCGATTCTGTTATTAAATGGGTTTCAAAAGAAAATCTTTGCATATATATCGGTTAACTGTCGAGATGTTCTCATGCTTTATTTCGAAATTAAAAAAATAAATATCATTTTCGAATATGTGAATAATTTCAGTTATTTTTCGAAATGAATCAGCTGTTTATTTTCAACCAACTGTATATTGCTTTTTGATTTGCGATTTGATTTTTCTAAAGATGGTGTCTTTACAACAAAACGTTACAAAAAAAAGAAACCTGGACAACAGTTCATTGAGTCAGTTTTTAGGTAAGATATCCTTAGTTACATACCCTTTATTCTTCCCGCGGCCGCGAAAAACTGGCGATCTCGCAGCGAAAAGTCTCCCCGTTCCTGGTTTGGACCACGTCGCGTTCGCGATTCAGTTCAGATCGCGTCGCGTTCGTGATTCACATAGGATCAAATCGCGCTCCTGCCTTGGAGCACGTCGCGCTCGCGATTCAGATCAGATCGTATCGCGTTCGCGCTTCAAGTCACGTCGCATTCGCGGTTCAGATTATGTCGCGATCGCCATTAAAAATACGATCTGGTCAGAATGGCGATCCAAGTTAGGAACGCGATACGATCTGATCTGAGTCGCGAACGCGACGTGGTCCTAACCAGGAACGCGATATGATCTGATCTGAATCGCGATCCAAGTTAGGAACGCTATACGATCTTATTTGAATCGCGAACGCGACATGATCCAAGCCAGGAACGCAATACGATCTGATCTGAATCGAGCTCATATCGCATTCCTAGTTAGGACGACGTCGCGTTCGCGATTCAGATCAGATCATATCGCGTTCCTGGCTTGGATCACGATTCGGGTCAGGCCGGATCGTGTTCCTGGCTTGGATCGCGATTCAGATCGGATCATATCGCGTTCCTGGCTTGGATCGCGCCGCGTTCGCGATTCAGATAAAACATTTATTTGCGTTCATATGAAGTTTCTTCTTTTGAAGAAAAACCTTGTAAGTGTGGTAAGGTAGATTACATACTAGGAGCAGGTGCATCTCTAAAAAACATTTCTTTCTGAGGTAAAGAAAAGAGAAGAAGCAGATATTTATCGTTTTTAATTTAGTTTACGCGTGTATCCACGTGTACTTTGTCCTATGTAAATTTCTAACGAAGACAAACATGCTTCATATTAACGCATATAGTCTATATACTGGTCTAACATTTTTAAAAGTGGAAGAATTTATATAGTACACATGAACTAGTATGGTAGCCACGTGTGTGATGACTTTGCGAAGCTTTTTGTCTTATTTTAAATGAGACGAAAAGCAGTATCTGTTATATCAGACAGTTATTTCTTCTACTTAGATCATATCGGCCCTTTTAAGTTTCTCAAAGCAGAATTAAATCTAAGAATAAAATTAATTAATTTGCAAAGTAAGTACACAGCAGTTCCAGTGAGTGAGAGAATATAAATTTTGTTTCTTCAGGCATTTTGTGTAGATTAAAAAAGTCTTCGTTCTTAAAAATGCACTATATCTAAGGGCTTTTTCTATGTTCTTTCTCCCAATCGATGTTTACTGTGCAAATATCTCAAAATAAAAGTGCACAGAAGTGAGAAATGCATCAAAGGTTGCTGTTTTTATAACAATTGTGAATATCCTCGGTGTAAGATCGCTTTGTTGTTGTTAGCCTCGTGAATGCCGTAAGGCATCTATGGATGACATGAAGGAAATTTTATATGTTGCGTATGCTTTTTCGTTCTATTGTTTTAACGAAAAAAAAGTGGCAGAGGAACACATGTGACGAAAACAACAGAACGCAAAGAGGGATATTTAATCGTTTTTTTACATATGTATGCCTTTGGACGCGTAAGAGGAAAAATAACGGCATTCAAGAGGTTAGTGGCTCTCAGGATGTAGCGACGGTCAGTTCGGTTCTGGTTGGTGCACAGAGGATTGGGGCTCAGCCATTCCGCCTCATTCACAGAATATTAGATTGGCTCTAATAACGAACTGATCTTAGCGATAATATCTACGGGTATACATTCTCTG